GTCGCTAGGATCATTAATAGAGGAGAATGTTATGAAGCCCGGCAAACTGTCAAAGGAGCAAACAAAGATGCCAAGATTTATGTTGGAAGGTCCACGACCGTGCGCCATCATTTGGTTTCCGTTCATAAACTATGCTTGAGTTAGGTAATTAAAACATTTCTATTGGTTAGCTCCTCGGTCAGTAGTAGTAGAATTTTCACTGTTATGGTGCACCTCTATGGCACACTCGAAGATACTAAGATATGGACGAAAATAATTTCTTACCCAAGCACAAATTGCCGTAAATAATCCAAAAACCCGTAAAAAAGCCAATATCCCTCCCAAACTCAGACGCACGGCAACACGGAATCTATTTGTTAAACAGTGAGGACACTCGAACGATGAACACTTGACATTCTGTTGTTCATTTTTTAAAAAAAAAACAGGCCTCCACAATGCTTGCCACAATCAAAGAGCTGCAAGAACAGGTCCAGAATAAGGTACGTCTAGTTTTCAAGCACTTAACCCCCGGAGGGGAGGGGGGTATTCGAAGAAAAGTTGGGTGGGGGTGTGCGACCCGCTTCTCAAAACCCTCACCCTATTTATGATCAAAATCTACGATATTCCGTACCCTAGTTCTGACCAGACCAAATATTCGATACCCTATTTATGACCTAACGGGCCATTAAATTAAAGCCCTGTTTCAGACCTGCGTTATAATAAGTTCCCTAGTTCAGACCCATGTTAAATTATCGTAAACACACGTAAACATAATTTGCGAAGGGCTTTTGTTAATGATGAAAAAGTAGCTTCTTCTTAAAAACATACCCATATCAAGGCAAGAGTGCAAAAATCATACCCTATTTATGACCAAACTGGCCAAAATAGGCTAAAATCGCTACCCTATTTATGACCAAAACGGCTGAAAAATATTCTGTAACTTTATTGCAATATTTTTTGCCGCTTGGCCCAGCCACCTAGCTCGATTAGCCTTAGCTATTTCTAAGTGGCTGTGCTCTGTTTTTCATTGCTATTTTTTCACATTGCATGTATTTATTTTTATTGTAAAATTTTTCTGGGCACGAAATAAAGATTGTTGTTGTTGTTGTTGTTGTTGCCGTATATACCTATATAGCTCATATAAGGGAATACCCCCCCCCCCCGGGCTTTTGACAGCGTAGCTCTGGTCAAAGGAAGTCGCTAGGATGATGAAACTGTTTTGGGTATTTGTTCGCCGACAGAAGATAACATTTAACGCTGTTACATTGAAAGAATGTGTTTCTAAATAGCGCTATAATTCACTTTCGTGCGTTTTTTTTTTTACGTTTTTTTTTTTTTTGCAAAAACTCTGCAATAAGACAAGCTTATCGTTTATGCTCAAATATGTCTCTAATAGCATTTGATTTTTGGACTGTACAGACTCAACTTTTACATTTTACCAGAGTTCGTACTGTTTCTTTTAAAAGTTGGGCTGAATAGACTTGCTCTAGTGACTCTCCGTCTGGGCACGTTCTTGGTATGTTCTTAAAATTTGGAGTAGTCAGCCTCAAGTGTATGTTTTTCCTTAAAAGAAGAACTTTGAATACATGAAATTATCTATCCTGTTACACTCGAACCATGAATATTTGACATTCTTTTGTTCATTTTTTTAACAAATCAGACCTCCGCAATCAAAGAGCTGCAAGAACAGGTCCAGAATAAGGAACAAGAGGTACGTTTACTTTTCGAGCTCAGTTTACAACGTAGTTCAAGGGCGTCTCTTTTTATTAAAAGAAGAAACCAATGTCTGGAAAATTTTCCCATTTGGAATACATGAAATTATCTATCTTTTGACATGTTTTGAGGACAATCAAACCATCAACACTTGACATTCTTTTGCACTTTTTTTTGGGTGACTACAGAATGAAGGCTCTTCGCGTAATGTACAAGATTAATACTAGATACCGTCTTGTTAATATGAAGAGCTATGAGCAAAAATAGTGTTCACGGCAGGAGCCATAATCGGGGACGGAGACCGTAAGTCTTGAGATCCGCGCGTACCTATGATATGGGACAATTTTTCTATTTTTAGAACAAATTGCGCCATCCTGACGTCATATATCTGCGCGGATCCACGCACATGTC